CAGAATGATTTGACATTTAGATATGATTTCCCTATGGCTTTAAAAGTCATTAGGATATACAATCATTCCATGGTGGAATTCCAGGTCACCAGCCCATCTTAGGATGGTAGAAAACCTCCCAAGAGTTTCCTCTTCACCCTCCCTACATGTCTGGGTTTGTCTGGCAGCCTTGCCTCACCCACAGGAGCTACTGTTCTCATGCCAACCAACACTGTCCAATGGCTTACCCAAAATGAAGACATTTTGCAATAATAGAAAAAAGCCAAACTTCTTTTCCTAAAGTGAGCTTGTTTTCCAAAAAATGTTTTGGTAACTTAGGTCAATTGGATATAGATCTGTAAATATTAGATGCTCCAGGTGGTGGAATGGGAGGGGTCCTTCAGAGGATCTGCTCCAACATGAAGACAGGAACATGGATAGAGGCTCTGATCAGGTTTAAGAGCTGCTGTGTGGGTGAATAAAACCATCTGCATGTGCGTGAAAATCTGAAAACAAAAAGCACATATATGCAGTTAGCTTACAGGACTGTGGTAAAGCTGGGTCCTTCTGCTCTTTGCTTGGACCGTCCACTGGACACTCCATCGTCCCCTTAGCGGTGAAACCAGACCTGAGGTGGCAGAACTTCTCAGGTGTCTTCAGCTCTGTGGCAGGGATGGACATGTCCACCTGTTTTCCAAGCCTGAGAAGTTACACACAGATATGATGGACAGTACTCTGTCTGATGGAGACATTCTACATGTGATCTGAAAGCGTAGAAATACTGTACACATCCAGCGTTAGCTTTAGCTATCAGGGCTGTTTCAAGGAATTTGGGGGCCCCAAAGTGTTACAACCCTTGAGGTGCATACATACATGCATGTATGTATATATATATATATATATATATAAAGCTAAATATCAACATTAACCGTCCGTTTTCTACAAGTAGAATAACCGTTTTATTTGTCTAAAATCTGTATGAAAGTCATTTTTTAGGATTGTTCCATTTGTCCTCCTTTGCCCTCAGATCTTAATAAAAAGATAAAAATAAGCTGTGACTATTTTGTCACCTTATTAAATGTCAGAGCTCAGTCTGTCTTAGAAGGCAGCAATTTTCTTCCAGACTGACAATGATTGTTTTGTACTTTCGGCTACTTTAGATCGCAAATGAAATGTAAAATAATAGTAAATAAAGGTAATAATATGTTGAAACTTCTGTTGAGTGTTCTCACTAGAACTAAGACAGTCGAGCACATCAGCCTGGTTCTGAAGTTCTGCCACTGGCTCCCTGTCGCTCAGAGAATAGACTTTAAAATTCTAGAAATCCCTGAATAGATCAGCATCTTAATCCATAACAGATCTGATGTCAGTGAATCAACCTCCCAGACCACTCAGGTCTTCTCGTTCTATTCTGTCCATCCAGAACTAGAACCAAACATGAAGAAGCAGCATTAAGTTCTTATGCTCCACTGATCTGGAACAAACTCCCTGGAAAAGCGATGAAAGCCTGAGTTTTTAAGACTACGTTAAAAACCAAATTGTTTAGAAGCGTGCAGAACTATTTTCTTTCCCCCGAAGCTGTAGTTTATTTTCTTTGTGCGACGGTTGATTAACTAATTCACAAAAGTAATTTAAAATACTTGTGTGTTTATTTTCCTTCCGGAGGTTTTGACATTAATATGACGTGATACCATGATGCTTACTGTTTAGATTTGACAATGAGGTCTAGAGGGACAAGCCTTAGGTCAAATGAAGTAAAAAAAATAAAATAAAAAAAGGTTGAGTCGACAAACAGCAACAGAAGTTCTACAACTTTTCAATTTAGTTTCAATTGAGTTTATTTCTATAGTGCCAGTTCACAACACATGACATCTGAAGGCACTTTACAATTCAACTCAATCATACTCAAATTGTGTTTTCTATCTAAGGAAAACCAGTTGATTGCATCGACTCATTGACTGGAAAGCAATCCTGCACACTAAGCATGCTTGTAGTGACAGTGGAGAGGAAAAACTCTGTTTTAACAGGGAGTTGCTGTGGAAAAAGTTATTTTCCACAGCAAATAATTTTTGAATTAACTTAAATATAGGCCTACCCATCTGAAGGTGACCTGCAGAACAGCTCTTGGATTCCATTGATGAGTGAGCCTCGTTCCAACTCCTCAACCGAAGGTAAACGGCTGCCTGCAAACCTGTGTGAGAAAATTAAAGGTTTTCTAAAAGACTCCTCTGTCAGCACATTTAGACCTAATTTGTTAGGAAGGGCTGCTAAAAATGAAGGAAACTGGATTTGCATGTTTCTGTGAGGATCTAACCTGTACAGAGCATTCCTACTGTCCTCGAAAGCATCCTGCTTCTTTTTTCTGCCAAGCACTTTAGTTCCCACGGCCTCAAACACATCACAGTCCATCAGAGCCTGGCACACACACGCCACCTTTTCCCGGGAGATGCTGGCACCTTGAGGTTTTGTTCAAACACATCACAAAAACTGATTTTTAGACATTCGAGTTAAAATTTATTTCAAAAACACACGATTGGACAACTTTGTACGATGAAAGCCAATTCTTTGCTGAAGTACAGACATTGGTCTATGAAACAGTGTTTAAAATGACCAACAGGGTGAGCAGCTGAGTTTTACTGTGAATTCTGTCGAGTCCTTCAGCTTCCTGGGTACCACTATCACTCAGGAGCTCAAGGGGGAGATTCACCTCGCCGCAAAGAGGATGCTGAACCCTTACACTGCTATCACTAAGTCCATAATCATCATCCGTCAAAACAATCATAGGTTCCAGTCTGGGTTGCTGCAGCCTCAATCAAAGACGAGGCCAAGCTGCAGCGGTGGCTACAACTAGGGGTGTGCAAAATAATCGTCATGATGATGCATCGTGATTCTAATTTTCATGATCTACTGCATGGATTCTTGACGCCAAGTATCGATTATTAATTCTAAAAAATGAATAAATAAAATTGCATGAATGGATGGCGAACATCAGCCAAAAACAATTGGAATACAACTTCCAGTCCAGCAGATGTCGCTGCGGATGTGTTGACGTACGCTGCCTTGTGTCATAAGCATTTCCGGCCGCGGGATACTGCGCCGAGTCATTCAAAACAAAACATGGAGGAGATTGAGAAACTTCGTCCGGCTCCATCACATTTTAAATCCGATGTTTGGAAGCATTTTTGGTTTTAAAAACAAAGGTAAAAATGAAGTTGATATGACGCACGCAATTTGCAAACACTGCTACACCAGAATTAAATACTGTGGGAACACAACGAACCTAAAAACACACATGCAGAGGCGCCATCCAGAATATCAAGAGCTGCCAGCGCCGCAAAATGTGCTTAAACAAACAACTTTCGATTGCAAGCTAGCCCTCAACGAGTTCATTTGCCAGGATTTGTGACCATATAGTGTGGTGGAGAACCGTGGGTTCAAAAAAATTATCAGCACACTGGAGCCTCGTTATATAATCCCGAGCTGAAAACAGTTCACTGAAGTATTGGTCCCACAGATGTATGATGAGGTGTTGTTATAATGGCAGCTACTTCCAAAATGTTTTCATTTCATTGAGTTGAAGGACCACTGAGGCCATGATTATCCTTATTTAGTTATTTCTAGTTTTATAAATCCTAAGCACTTTTTGTCAATGTGTCCACTCCAGAAATAGTAATATTTGTGTCCAGTTACAGTAATACTTGTTTTCATGGCAACATCTCCAAAAGTAATTTCAATAAATACAGCTATGTGTGAATGCAGTTGCTTTCAGTTATTTATCAACTGGAAGACACTACCCAGATCATACTCAGCCAATCAGTCACTGGTAATGGCTGTATTTTTTTCTAACAGTGTTCAGTGAAAATATTGCAATGCATCGCAATAATTCAAGTATCGTGATGCATCGTGATAGAATCGCATTGTGGCCTGTGAATCGTGATTTGAATCGAATCGTGACTTCTTTGGCAATACCCACCCCTAGCTACAACCTCCCGTCCCTG